GTGTATAATGTGAATTAAATTGTTTAGATTGTTAGTTGGTACATTTTTTTTCTTTCATGATAAATAGATAATTCATATTTTAGTATTTCTTTTTATTTATTGTATTTATTCATGCATTTATATTTAATTAAAATAAACAAAAAACCAAAATGTCTGTTGCTGCTCATCAGATGTCCCTGTCTGGGCCCTTGATCGACCCAGGGAGGAAGAAAAGACCTCTTACAGAATCAGAGTTAGAACAGAGACGTCAGAAGAGACAAGAAGCTGCTGCAAAGAGGGCGAAGCTACAGGAGGAAAGGAAAAAGCAACAGGAAGAACTAAATTACAAGAAGAAGTAAAAAATAAATTCTTTCTGGCTTTCTGTTGCATATTTTTGGCCAGTATATACTGTATTTATTTGTATGTTCCCGTGGATGTCTATTTTATAGCCTTGTTTGTATGTGTATCCTTCAATGGCAGGATGGCATGGTGGGAATCATGTGGCTACAAATCGCTGTGCTTGCCGCGAGTCGACAGTGAGGGTGAGGATATAGAGCCTGATGAAGATGATGATGATGTCGTCAGCTGGAGCTCCACTGATTCGGATCACACAGCCATTCGCTATGTGCTGGGTGATGTAACTCACCCTCAGGCTGATCGAGAGGATGCCATTATTGTGCACTGTGTTGGTATGTCTCTATTAAAACGTATCGCTGTCAGAAGACAACTGTTAACATATTGATTATCCTGCATGATATGTTAACAAATATGGGGCCTTTTTATAACAATCTCAGCTTTCTGCCAATTTGGCATGATTTGTTGTGTATGTGTGTTTATTGTGTAGATGACTCTGGACACTGGGGCCGAGGAGGATTGTTTACCGCACTGGAGCTCAGATCAGATGAGCCGAAGAAGCAGTACGAGTTGGCTGGAGACATGGAAGGTGACAAACCTTTCCTGTTTGCTGAGACGGGTCTAACTCGTGCTGTGTCAAAACAAACATTCCACACTGAAATCAGTATCCAGTTCACAGCTCATTATGCTGCCTGCAAGATAATTGTTCATAAAACTGTCAGCATTGATTTGATACCTATTAATGTGATGTTTAAATGTTGGGGATTTCGCAAAGTTTGTGGTATCAGAGCTATAAAGCTAGTAGTAACATTTTAGTTAGAATGACTTTCGGTTAACCGAAACCAATTGCACAATTCCAATTCTACACTATATTCTCTAAATATGTTACTAACTAAAACACTCAATTTTATTGTTCAAAAGAACCGCATGTATTTGAAATAGAAATCTTTTGTAACATTATTAGTGTCTTTACAGTCAATTTGGATCAATTTAATGCATCCTTGCATTAGTATTCATTTGTCAAAAAAAAAAAACTTTTGATTGGTAGTTTATATTTAACAATGATATAAAATTATTAGATTTGATAAATTTTCGTTTGTTGACTTCAAAGGTAAGTTAAATATAAAAAAATAGGCTGAAACGAGCATGCACAATTCAATATCCAGTGAACAAAATGTATAAATGACAAAGTGATTGTGCGTTGCAGACTTGGAACTGGGGAATGTTCTGCTTTTTCCCATTGATGACAAACAGTCGAGGCTCAGTGGAAGAGACTATGTGAGCCGGCAAGCTGTTTATGTCTTTAATCTACTGCTGTTAATTATTTTTAATCATTCATTTATTAAATAATTGTATGCCTCCTGTTTCTCTAGTTGGCACTTATAGTTGCTCAGCAGAGGGATAAAGCCAACAATTTGTCAGGCATTCGGCTCACTGCCTTGGATGAGGGCCTCAAGAAGATCTACAGAGATGCCAAACAAAAGAAGGGTACCCAGCGCTTGTTTGTGAAACTAGTTGGTTGCAATGACGTGGCTTTCTCTAGTCACCTTATAAACAAATGAAATATAATATGAAAATCTATTAATGCAGTCAAAACAGATGGTACAGCTGCCAATGAGAAATACACATCCTTGCTGCAAACCTGCTGTACTAAAACCTAAGTTCAGTGCACACCCCTTTTTAAGTATCATAAAGATTTGATGGGATTGTTTCCAAGAGGTGGATTCATTTCAAAACGCGTAGAAAAGCGTACTCCCAAGGCCTACGCATAACAGAAACTTACCTAGTCTAGACTGTACAGCTGTATTTTGTTTTTGCTCATGTCTGCAGATTTAAGATGCTTCTAAATAAGAATGTGTGTAATGTAGCAGCTGTCTTTTTAAATGGATCATTATGCGTTTAAGGTCTTTCACAAGGACTGTGTTTATATTTGACAGCTTTTTGTGTAAACATGCACTGGGAGGACGTGTTTGTCTATTGTGTTTGTGTCTCTCGCAAGACTTCAGCTTCGAAAAATGTGTTCTGTGTAAATGGCCATTTAGTGTAAATGGCTCTTTAGTTAACATTTTCTGTGTTTTCTTCAATAGCAAGTGTCCATCTGCCTCGGATTGGTCACTCCACTAAAGGCTTCAACTGGTATGGAACAGAGCGACTCATTCGCAAGCACCTGGCCACCAAAGGCATCTCCACATTTATGTATCCTACCCGAGAAGAACTGAAAAGTTTGCACTAATTTTTTCTCAAAAACTGCATACTAGTAAAACAATGAACTAAAGTCGCGCTTCCCTTTTAATAAAAAGAAAAAATGGAAAGAAAAAGAAAGCAGCAGTTAAGAAAGCATCTAATAATAGCGACTCCAATCAAATCTTGTCACATTTATTTAAATAGCACTAAATATAATAGTTTGCTTTAGAGCAAAGCAGCTTTACAGTATTTAACTTGAAAAACAATGTCAGTGTCACTTTCAATTAGAATTACAACTTCAGTTTTACTATGAAGCAGCTCTCCAGTTAGATCATGATTTTATTGACGTCTGACGTCAACGGACTGAAGAAATTAACCAGAGAAAATTTCCACACCAAGGAAGGAGAAGCACCACAGCACGTCTACTTGTTACGTAATCTCCACAGACGAATGGTAGTTTGAAGGTGGCAATTAGCCGGAGCAAACCTTTCTGGAAAGTTTGCTTTGGCAAAATGTCTTGAACTACCTAAACAAACTCCAGACTAACTTTGTTTAGCCTAATTTTGCTTTCGATTTCGTTTGAAGAACATTGGGGCCTTTAGAAACAACAATGAGCATCTTTTGTTATCCTTGACTTGTTTTTCAGCTACTATTATAAACGAGCCACTTCACACTCTTCTACAGTTTCTTCTACCACATGCACATCTACTCCATCAACCTCACACTCTGCCTCAGACCCAGCAGCATCCTCGCCATCTGGGTCCCCACACTCCTCCAGTGCCCTTGGTCACAGTGAAGACCTTACAAAGTCACCAAAACCCTCCACTATATCACATGAAGGTCAGGACGCACCAGGGTTGGCTGACTTTATGAGAGGTGTTCATGTCTACTTCTACAGCATGGCTGCTACAGAGAAGAAGAAGCTCGCCCGATACCTTATCACATATCCTTTCACGTTCCATCTTTACCCACACGTTCAACAAAGCCAACAAACCACTACATTACAACAACATGTCTATCATCACATTTATAAGAAAGCTTGTTGATGTTGGCGTGAGCTAATAGTTTACACCTTAATGTTTCTGCACATATGACGGCGATGAAGAGGATCTCATGAGCTCACACGTCACTCATATTGTAGGAGAGGTGGAAAGTCCTGTCCATGCACAGGTAGTACAATCAAAACTAACTTTTTAAAGAGGTTTTAATTTGCCTAATACTTATATTTATTAATTTAGTAACAGCAATATGCTCTCTTTTTTCTTCTCTGTCAGGAACTGCGAGATCTATTGCATCAGTACCCTCAGACCCTGCTTGTGAAGAAAAAGTGGTTGGAGTCTTGCTTTGGTAATCAAAGGAAAGTCAGTGTGTCTAAATATGTAATTAGGTTAACTTGACAAAGCTCCTCCTACGTTCCTTTCAAGTCAGTATGCATTAGGTTTATTCACAATCACATTTAGTATCCATTTAGAGTTTGAAATGAACTGGTCTCTCCCTGTATATCCAGTTACGGCTAAATGACGGTAAGAGGTTTTTGTCATACTATGGATCAAATAATGAAGCATTGCTTTCTATTTAAAGAGAAACAACAACAGCTGTGGTTTCACACTCTGGAAAGAGTTTACAGTAAACACAGATGCATTTACTTTCTTTATGCACTTATCTGCATGGTTAGAATGAGTTCATGAAAAACTTTTACATTATTTGGCATTTTTCTACACTATTTTACATGTGCTGTGGTTTAAAAACAGCAGAAAAAGATGTAATATGTAACTGAGCAAATAAAATAAATAAATAAAAACATCTATTTTACATACTTTTTTTTTTTTTTACAAAATCCCAGATAAAGATGTAAAAGCTGTTCATTGTCAGATCCCGGATGTCAGTTTTACTGAGAAATGCAATGCACTAAAAACCAAACCACTGATGTCTAAGATAATATGAAAGTTATCAGATGCTTATGATATAACTTATGTTTCTGGAAAGTCTTGTTGACCACTTTTTAATTATAATAATAAAAAAGTAACCTCCAGCGAACTACAGTAAGTGATGCATTGTGTTGTTTATCCTTGTTTTTAACCACATTGATATAGTCCTAGAGTAAATATTGTTTTTGTTTTATTGCCTCATGGTTTGTCATTTTAGCAGAACTCCTGTTTATTTGGTCCTTCCAGTTCAAAGACCCAATATGACCTAAAAATAAGTTCTTAGTGCTGCAATTTTCCTTTAATTTTAGTAAAATTGTTGCTTATCTGTATAGGTGTTTTTATTGTTCAGACAATATTGTAACAACATTGTTGTCAGTAATAGTAACTAATATATTATTAGGCTAGTTGATTAATAAATGTTAATTATTAATCATATTGTTTATAGTCAGTATTCTTGCCAATGTTCTCATCTCAATGTTCTACCATCAAAGTAATTATTTTGCTGTCAAGTGATTTACAAACACTTTGCGAATCGGTTCTTCAGAATAATTCAAAAGAATCTGCTTAAAAGAACAACTCGTTCATCACTAGTTGTATTGTTGAAGGCAGATAAACAAGCGCTCTGAGTCGAGGATGTGCTTTCTGGGAAGTGGGCGGAGTTTGTGGTGTGAATACGCAGGTGTTGAGAAACTAACTTCCAAACAGTATGTGCTTCGACTGCTACAGCTCGTGTGCTCTATAATGTCCAGCGATTTTGTACACTGATATTAGAGGTATCGAAATTAAATAATTCACGCGACTATATCTGCTGATCAGGTATGTACGTGGTTTATGTGGTTTGTCACGTCAGCGAGCAGTTTGTTTCGGACAACGTTGGCGTCTAATTTGTCGAATAAGTCATATGAGAGCGGAGTGGGAGTTTTATTTTGTGTATGTGTTGTCTTTATTATGTTGTATTTAAGCTTTTAAATTTTTTTTTTATAAGATTTTAGTTTTGGGAGGTGTTACCTGTATAGCAATATGTTGCGAAGGCAGAGCGAAATGTGAGACACTGGATGTTATGTAGACCCGCGGCAGTGACACGTTGCTATTTTGGACGAAATATTTACAAAATACTACTTAAGAACTTTGGTAACTCTTTATTTTAAAGTGTCCATGTTACATGTTACACGTTACATGTACTTACTATTATAATAACAATAAATTATGCATAATTGCATGCAAAGAACCCTGAGACAAATCCTAATCCTAACCATATAGTAGGAACATGAAGTTAATTATTATTATTATTACTCGGTACTTAAATGTAATTACACTACAACAAGGACACTTTAAAATAGTGTAACCAAAACTTTTTATTATTATCATTATCATCATTATTATAAGAAATGTTACTAAAATGTCATATTTAATGCGTTATGCTAACCACAGTATTTTGACGCTTACTTTTTTTATAAGAGTGTGAATGTAATGCTTTCATTTATGCGTTTTAATTAAACGTCTATCAATCATCTACTGAATTTTTCAGACAGGAGAATGACATGATTTAACTTTGTGACTCAGCGGTGTCTGTAGATTCTATGTTCTAGTCACTGAAGAAATGATGTATGATATAGTGTTCAGTGTTATGCTAATGTAAGACATTAGGTCTATTAGTACCTTCTCTGCCGCTTTTGTGCATTTGATATTGACGGCCTTAATTATCTGTGATTTTCCCATGTCTCATTTTGGTTTCCACTGCATATTAAGGTGTTTTCCGCTGATGTGTAAAGTGCACTGAATTTCATACTGTAAGTTGAGAGAAAAAGATAGAGAGAGAGAGAAAAAAATCCCCTTAGCATAATTGTGGGTTCCTGTATTCAGTAGCCAAAGGTTGCTCGTTTTTCTCAAATGCAGTTTTATTTAACAGGGTGATCATCATTCAAGGTTACTGGTGTTCATATCTTATTAATTTATTACAGATTGCTGACTGGGGATATGGAATGGCTGCAGCTCTTTTGTATTAGGCACAAGAATGATGCCTTCTTCACAGTGCTTGCAATATAGGTAAAATATACATCTTATAATGACAGAAAAGGTACTCTATATGGACAATATTGGGACACAGCTTAATTATTGTATTCATGTGTTTCAATCAGACCCATTGCCCGTGTTTTAAAATCAAGCACCCATTCTGCATTTACAAACATTTGTGGAAAATAAAAATGGGTCATTCTGAAGAGAACAGTGAATTAAAGTTGCGATAAATCAGTTTGTGAAATTTCATCCCTGCTAGTTATTCGATGGTCAGCTGTAAGTGGTATTATTTTAAATTCAGAATAGCATTTAGATAAAGCAGCCATCAAGCAGAAGACTGTAAAGCCACAGAGTCACCGAGTGCTGCGGCACATGGTGCACGAAAGTCACCAACACTATGATGATTTCATAGTTGAAGAGTTTAGTGGTTGGATGAGTTTGGTGTGGAAGTATTTGACTGGCCCGCACCGAGCCCGGCCTTCTCGTCCCACATCAGTGCCTGACCTCACAAATACTCTGTGAATGGGATGAATTGGCAAAAACTTTAATGGAAACACTCCAAAATCTTGTGGAAAGCCTTCCCAGAAGAATATAAGCTGTTATGTAGATGCCCCCCCCCCACCCAATTGCAGATATATTAGTGTCTATGTATTTAGAATGCCATGTTATTAAAGTCCCAGTTGGTGTAATGGTATGGTGTCCCTATACTTCTGTCTATATAGTGTATGTTCTATTTTTATTTTATTTATTTTTTCCAAAGCCAGTTTGCGGAAAGCCAAATTTCGTTTGCTTGGCAAAACCAGTTTTTACTTGCATTTGGTGACTTCCCAGTGTTAGTTTCGGACCCTGTAATATTTTAAACATATGATTATTGTTTCCTATTCTTGTATTGTGCAATTTTACCTCTTAGATAAAGAAAGAAATGTTTTTTAAAGTTAATTTTGGAAACAAAAAAAACACCTCTTGCACATTCTGGATAGCAGGTCGGTGCATGTGACGCAATATTGTAGAAAGAATAAAATCCCACGCACTTCTGGAGCTTGCAGGTTTGTTAATACAAGGCTCAATAAAACAAAAAGTTTTTTTTTTTAACTGCAATTTTAACACATTTATAGGTATTGATAATATTGTTTTATTCTGTTTTTTTCTCTCTCTTTATCATTTGTTTTATATTTGAAATCATATTTAGTGTGACAGTTGAATTTCAAATGTTTCTAATCTAACTGATCAGAAAAACAAGATACACTGTCAACTTACAGATACTTCAGTGCAATGAAGGCAGCAGTTCGGTGGAATACCCCAGTGGCAACCTTCCCTCTTGCTTAGTGTCTGGAAATAGTGCTACTTGCTAGTGCTACTGCAGTTAACCTGGCGATTCCAGCTATTCTTGCTCTCCAGACAGGCGCAGTCTGGGAGAGGGAAGTCTGGAACAGCCGCGTTCACTGCGCTCTATCCCAACTGTGTTTGCGCCTCACAGCTACTGCATGCCTCCGTGGGCCGCCCTGCTGTAGTCAATTGTTTTATTCTGGGGTTTTTTCTCTCTTTATAGTAATACCTTAAAAAGACAATCATCAGATGAATTGCTATAATTTTATTCTATTTACACCCCTAGTTTGAAACAAATAAATACATTTGCATTGTCATGAAATGTCTTGAATTTCTTCTATTTAGTGTGACAATTGAATTTCAAATGTTTCTAATCTAACAGTGATCAGAAAAACAAGATACACTGTCAACTTACAGATACTTCAGTGCAATGAAAATATAAAAATACAAGATATGTTTCAAAGGTATTAAACCATATGTAGATATTCCAGGAATATAAATATATCAACAACACAGTACTTTCCCAAAAGTCACACTGGCACTGGGCTGTCTATATTTATTGCCCTGTTTACAGCCTTAATCTGGCACCAGTTGTTTTTAAAAATGCCTTGAAGGTTTTTTTTTTTGTTTTGGCTGAAACTGCTGTTTCATTATACATTAGGAAATCTGCTAGCTACAGTATTAAATTATTTATTTATTTGGGGGGGATATATTTTTTGGTCATTGTGTTCATTTTCAAATGTTAATTTTTCCACATACTGTAAGAGTGCTCAAGAACTCTTGTGTTTTATATTTTTGTCCTCATTTTCTAGGTATATTTCTCCATTTGGCCACTACAGTTTACAATCCCTCAACTTTCCAGAAGAGAACGACGAGACTATGGAGAAAATCATTACTGAGGACTCCATCTGTGGCTCAAACTCCACCGATTCCCAGCTCTCTCTCACCGACTGTTGCATGTCTGGAAATGAGTCCTCTTTGAGCACACAGGCTGACTTCAGGGATATCTGCAGAGACAGAAAGACCAACTACAGATCCACACAGACCAGCTACAGCCCTTACCAGCCCCCGCTAGGTCTACCTTCTGGTTACAATCCCCAGACGCCCTTTCCCAGTCAGACGGAAGTATGTCTGAGCACCCTAGAGCCACACAACAGGGACCTGCTCCACTCGAGTTCCATAGGCAGCAGTTCGGTGGAATATCCCAGTGGCAACCTTCCCTCTTGCTTAGTGTCCGAAAATTACTGCAGTTATCCTGGGGATTCCAGCTACTCTTGCTCTCCAGACAGGCACAGTCTGGGAGAAGGAAGTCTGGAACAGCCGCATTCACTGCGCTCTATCCCAACTGCGTATGCGCCTCACAGCTACTGCATGCCTCCGCACCCCTGCATGTCCCGTGGGCCGCCCTGCTGTAGTCAATACCCTGTGGATGTGTATCAAATGGATCAGGGCTCTCATTACAGGCCACATTACCACATGCCCTGTTGGCCTTCACGTAAGTCTCGGTTCTTTGTTCAAATTCTATGTCTATTATGAATGACTCATAAGTGAGTCAGTTTCTTTCTTTTACATGGAACTTGTTAATTTGTCAGTCACATTATGAATAATTCCAACTTTCATAAGCCTGTTGTCATTAAAATTGCCTCATACTGTATGTGCTGAGTTCTTTATCAGTGGTCTTTATCAACCTTACGGGAAATTTATCCAGCCTGTGCCAACCAGATTAAATTGCAATACATTTTTGCCAGTATACTGTCAGATTAAGCAACCAGTTTCATTAGAAGATGAAACACCTAAATATAAGGATTAGATCATGCTCAGAACTACACTTTGGAGCACTAAGCATTGCATCAGTTTATGTGTGGTGCTCAAACCTACATTTTATTCACAGACCACCCACAATATAGTTTAGACAAATGTTAACGGTACTGAAATGTTTTTAATTAAAATGCATTTCTGTGTAAAGTACAGTATAATCATAAGTAGCTGCGTTTTCAATGTCTTTCCCTGCAATACTCTCTCAATTGTATAATAAAAAAATTGACATGTGATATAAATTCCTGCTTTAACAAACTTTAGTATGTATATGTAAGTATATCTGACTGTCCTCTGACAGTCCATCTAACATGTACTTTGGGTTGCCTTTTTAGTTTTGGCAAGCTAATTGGTTGCCCCTACTTAATGACCAATGGCATTTTTTTTAACTCGATTAACAAGCTGATAAAGAAAAGCCTTTGATAAAACAACAAAGAAAAGCAATGGGCAAAATCCAGTTTACAATGTGCATTTAAAGAAGTACTTTTAACCTACTATTTTTTCGTGTTATTTAACATGAATTAAATAGTTTTCATGTCAATTTATGTTCCCACTTAAAATTCTTTATGAATTTATTTTTTTATTAACTTCCTTTTAAAACATTATTTAAATAAGCACTTTTAAATATGCCTATTAGTTTGTCCATTTAAAATGTAGTTTCAGTTATAAAACTGATAACTTATTGCTTCATTTTATTTATAAATGTCACTCCTAATCCTCCATAGATTTTTGTTTGGAACAGTTAATGGTGAGCTGTTGCCACACACAAAAGGCAGGTGGTAAATGTAATTTTACTAAAAGGAAATGTTAGTGCACATTTACAGTGAACATGGTAGCAGTAATTCATCAGATGATGGAAAAGCACATTATAAATGGTCATGTATCCATAATAAAAATAATTTACTTGATCTGTAAAGTTTAAGTGTAACTCAAATTATCAGGTTGAACCAATTATATGTAATAATATTTTTGGTTTGAAAAATAAAATCAGTTTATTGAGATGTTACTGTATCGTAAATTACCTGACAAAACATTTTTGAGTGTATGCAGCAGGGCTCAACATTAAAGTTTGTCTGGGACAAGTGGATTTTTTGAAAGGACACGTAAAAGAGACTTTTATGCCCAAGTAGCCTGAATAAAAGGGCAATAACAAAAAATAACCAGGGAAGCACAAAAAATTTAAATGTTTTGACAATGACAAGGTTGTGCCCGTTGAGGCTCGCGCAGCCTTGGCAGTGTGTGGGAGAGAGACTAGTGGAGAAATCAAAGCAAATGAGCGCAACAGCACACACCAAGGAACTCACTGAACAAATGTACCATGGTAAAACTTCTAAATGTTTTGTATTTATAACATATGATATCACAAATATGTTTAAGTTAGTAAAAGCTATTATATTTATAAAAAAACTTTTTTTTCTTGACGTAACTTTTTTTACTTGGAAGTGAATGACCGATTTACTTGTCCAAAGGACAAGCACGTCAAGGCTTAAAGGGATAGTTCACCCAAAAATGAAAATTTGATGTTTATCTGCTTACCCCCAGGGCATCCAAGATGTAGGTGACTTTGTTTCTTCAGTAGAACACATATGATGATTTTTAACTTCAACCGTTGCAGTCTATAAGTCGTATAATGCATGGCAATGGTAACAAAATCAATGAGAGTAAAAAAAACATGCACAGACAAATCCAAATTAAACCCTGCGGCTCGTGATGACACATTGATGTCCTAAGGCACGAAACGATCAGTTTGTGCCAGAAACCGAACAGTGTTTATATAATTTTTTACCTCTAATACACCACTATGTCCAACTGTCTTTGAGCGCACGCACGGCATCCGGTGCGTGAGGTGTGTACACGCTCTGGCGTAGTTTACGTTAATGGGTGTGTTGATATCCAGCCGAAGAGCAATCAACCATAACTTCAGGCAAGCAGGCTCAGAAGTTGGGAATACGTGGAAAGTCACCACTCCCGAATGAGTTCGCGCGAGAGAACGTAATCTTTTAGTTTTAAGTCGGTTTGAACAATCCGGATAAGCACAAGTAAGTACCATTTTGATTAGCCATCGTACCTACAATGACTGTGCACTGTGTAAACAATGAGTGACGTATACGCGCGAGAGATCACTTCCGGATGCCGTGCGCGCGCTCAAGGCAGTTGGACATAGTGGTGTATTAGAGATAAAAAAATGATATAAATACTGTTCGGTTTCTGGCACAAACCGATCGTTTCGTGTCTTTGGACATCAATGTGTCATCACGAGTCGCAGGGTTTAATTTGGATTTGTCTGTGCATGTTTTTTTTACTCCCATAGATTTTGTTACCATTGCCATGCATTATACGACTGATAGACTGCAACGGCTGGAGTTAAAAATCATCATATGTGTTCTACTGAAGAAACAAAGTCACCTACATCTTGGATGCCCTGGGGGTAAGCAGATAAACATCAAATTTACATTTTTGGGTGAACTATCCCTTTAATGTCGAGCCCTGTGCAGATTCACATCTCACTCACTTCATCATTTCATCTCCAACAGGCCCTGAAAACAGCAGACAATCAGCCTCAGAGTTCACATATAGGTAATGTGAGTTTTTTTCTGTACAATCAATATGGGACAGCCAGTCTTGTATTGTATTGTACATGATTTCATAGGTTTCTGATTTTCACTAATACAAAAAAAACTTAGCTGTCTGAAGTCTTTATGCAATGCTTTCATGTCTTCCAGTGGCCACACCTCTCCTCACCCGCGAGCTAAACTAACCCCAAGCACAGCCCCTCTATCCCTGGAGCAGAGTAAGTGTAAATACTATAGTTGAGTAACACTGAAAGAATGTCAAATTTGAATAAGATCTATGTGCCAGTAACATCAGACTATAATAAGCAAATGGCAGTTCTTGTTAACTTCTTATCTTTTCTTCTTCAGCGTCATGTGATTCTAAAGTGTTTATCACAAAGTCTTTATGTGCTAAAACTGCTATATATACAGTAGATTAAGTTTATATCTACTGTAAAATACAGTAGATTGTACAGTATTTAAAAAATATATATATAATGAGTTATGTTTCTGGAAGGAATTTTATGTTCTTTTTCACTTTTCATTATTGCAGGGAAGGTCTTTGTTACATATGAAGCAGACAGTGAAAAACATGTCAAAGAGATCATCAACTTTGTCGCCCTACTGAGACGCAACGGTTTCTACACTCACGTAAGACAAGCAACCTGTACCAGACATTGCCTTGCAGCCATGCTTGTCTCCTGGTATGGGGTCTGCCTGAGATCATGTTCAGTCTCTTTGTTCTTTTTGCGCAGATTGACATGTTTGAACAACAGTTCAAGAGCATAAGCAAGATCGACTTCATGGAGAGATACATCAGCGAAGTAAGTAGAAACCAGGCCTGCTAGTATTTCAGAGAGCGCGTTTTTCCTAGTTTGACTTACACAACAGAAGATCTAGTGCACATTGCAGATTATTCTGAAAACTCTAGAGCAGCTCAAACAGTTTTGGTTTTACATGGCATTTAGGAGCAGGTTTTTTGGAAAGAGATGATATGACAATAATAGACCAGAGTGAAAAATAAACATTTAATTAATGGCACAACAGTCTCTGCAAACACAAAAAAAACACTAGAAAATTAGTGGAAAATATATTTAGAAGGAGTGAATGTGTGATTTTGTATTTTAAAATGTTATTTATTCCTGTGATGGCAAAGCTGAAATCTTTCAGCCAATACTTCAGTCTTCAGTTTCATGTACTTTTTCAAAAATCATTCTAATATACTGATTTGGTGCTCAGTTTTAATAATGGTTCTCATTACTATCATTGTTGAAAACAATGCTGCTTAATATTTTTGTGAAAACGATGCATTTATAGGATTCTTTTATGAAGAGAAGGTTCAACTGCATTTATTTGAAATAGAAATCTTTTGCAACATTATAAATGTCTTTACTGTCACTTTTGATTAATTTAATGCATCCTTGCTGAATAAAAATGTTAAATTCTTTCTGTCTTTCTTTCTTTCTTAAAGTCATACTTACCACAGAAATTTTGAATAGTAGTTTATCACGGTTTCCACAAAATATTAAGCAGGAAAATTTTTTTTAACATTGATAATAATAAGAAATGTTTATTAGAGCAACAAGTAAGCAAATTATAATGAATAGCATATTTGAAAATATTCAGCATATTCATAAGATATATTCAAATAAAAAAATATTAAAAAACATTTTTAAAAAATCGTATTTATTCCAATCTGCTGACTGGTGTAGCATTCTTTCTTTTAGGCTACCAGTGCATTAAAACAAGTGAAATATATATTTTTTTATTAGTGAGCTTTAAATTTAATATGTGTGAATGACTGTAGTGTTTTTTTTCTTCTTGGTGTAAATAAACTTTTCATCTGCAATCGTTTATTTATTTTTGTTTTCCTGAATAGGCTTTCACTGCTGTGTCATTGATGAAAGTTACACATGTATCTTTGGCTTGTAAAAAAATGAAATGTTATTCCTAATATCATCAAGGACATGTGAACTCTGTAACCTCTTAAATAGAACAAGGCACAGCTGGGAAAACTTGTTCAATGGTTGCATTTATACAGCAATGTTTACTGTTGAATTGCAAACAGTGGAAGAACTAACATCGCTGTTTATCGTCAACACATACAACCTTTTCTGAGGTGCTCACCATTGTTGAGGATGTCTTCAGCTCTCACAAATTTCACATTTTTTGGTTCATTGACATTGTATGTCTGATAAAATGTCACCATTTAACCTTAAAAACTTTTTTAAATGGCAAGGATTGATCCCTGACATACAGTTGAACATGCTATCACATATTCCCTTTCAAATTCATGACCACAGGTGGTTGCTTTTGGGTGAATTCATTTGTGCTGAGAAACTGAACAGGTTCAATGTGGCAGTCACACAGGCAGTGTGTTTCCTATTTGTTCTCAATGATATTTGCTTCTAAATGCATACAGCCAGTTTGAGCTTGGACATCATTTATTTATGTGACTGATATTTGATGAAAGTATGATGGCAGGAAACAATCCAACAAAACTTTTAATTTTATGCTTTTGGAGGGGGAAGAAAAGAACATTTAATAATAATAATAAAAAAAAAAACATGTAACCCTGAAACATATCATTTTAATTAAGAGATGAAATGGGGGAGGACATATTTCTGGCATAATTTTTTTTATTTTATTTTTTATTTTTTTGCTATAAAACGGTCTACTGCACTGAGAACGATAAACCTTGCATGTCTAATTTCAGTAGATTTAGTTTTTTCCTGAGTATCTGAAGTAATTGTTCCCTCATGTCCATTCAGTTGTCTAATTTTGTGTTTGTGCTCTGTTATGCACAGAAAGACTATCTGATCATCATAGTCATTAGTCCAAAGTACCACGAGATTGTGACCAATGCCTCGTTTTTCATGGAAAATGATGAAACTCTCAACACTGTCTACATACACAAGCAGGTACAACTTGGGTGGAACGGAATCTAGGTTTTTCTTTATTTTTCTTTGTCAGTTGACTCATAAGAGCGCTTTGTCTTTTAGTTACAAAACGAGTTCATTCAGAACGGTGCCAGGAATTACAGATTCATCCCCATCTTGTTTCCCGGTGCCAAGAAGGTAAAACTGCAACATATAAACCCAATTGCTTAACGAACAGGATGTTTGTGTTTGCACAAGTACTCGCCCAAGGAGCCAAAATACTAATTCGCGATTAACTATTATGATAACCGCAATAGACATTTGTGATTGTTTGTACAGTACTATAGTATCACCCAAAGGATTGCTCCATTGGATTCCACTTAAATCCAGTTCAGATGTAATGACGCCTCGTTGTTAGTTTACAACATTTCTGTGTCTGTTTCTTTCTGTCAGTGCCACGTACCTTCATGGCTTCAGAGCACACAAATCTTCACCTGGCCCAGAGACCGTGATGACATTCTTCGTCGACTCATGCGTGTTGAGAAGTACAACCCTCCACCCATAGGAGAGCTGCCCACCATTGTCTCCATCCCAATTTAGTTGGCTAGGTTTGTTTCTGTATGTAGACCCATGATATGCCAGTTGTAAACAGGCCTGGTATCCGTTTTAAATTAGTTTACCCCTCTGAGCAACTAGATGAGTGTTTAGTATGGTAAAATCCCTAAAGCTACAGTTATTTGATGTAATCTTTATAGAAACCTCATGTCATAATTAATATTTCACAACTCATCAATGATGAATAAGTCAGAATGTGTCCCGACATGTAGAAGAACTGCAAATGTTCATGAGTTACATTAGTTTGAGTGCTATGATTTTTGGAAGTTAGCTCAGTTTTTTCTTTACTTTGTATTAAGTTGTATCAAATTACGATAATTTGGGGGGCAAAAAAGGTCCATTGTCAATTGTATAGTGATGTGCTTCCACAGAAGTTGCATTCAAAACAAGCAGCTTTCTGTTGGTCATTGACACAAATCCATGTGACCAACTTGAAGTCATTGTGAAATCTGCATGGGGAAATATTTTGCTCCGTGCCAAGTTCTTGATCTTGTGGATTTCTATTGAAATTAGTTGTTTCCGCAAACATTCAACAAACAATGATAAATGTGACCACACCTTTGGACTTAATGGAGCTTTCTGTAACATACCCGGTAGCTATTAAAAAACGCTTTTAACATAGAATAACTATAGTAGACCAGAAATCTTCAAAGACAAACCTTTTCATCATGCTTCTTTGCTGTTGTGTGAACCTGAAAGAAGCCAGTACTACAATATCTTCACACACTTTTCAGAGTTTATTATATAAAACCGCTTGTGCATTGTGCCTTAGAATTTCCCTTTGAGTCATTAGAATTGTGCCAGAAGAATACAAACTTTATGTTGTGAGCTTCACATGGAGATTTCATGGTCATTCATGTTCTTAGATGATCATAGTCTGTTTTTAAAAATATAAACCCATTTAATAAATGAAATAATCTGGATGGTTTGTTATACAACTTGTACAAGAATAGAAAAATATGTTTTCAAAAAAGATTTGAAAACATCTAGTGACGAGGGTAATCTTACATGGAATGGAAGCTTGTTCCAAAGTTTAGGGCCTACTATAGAAATGCATGTATAGTTTAATGTAGCATGTTATTGAATGCACTGGTGGTGTTGGTTCAATCAAAGAAACTGAATTGAGTTGAAGATGCTTGGGATTTAATCGATTAGATAACAATGGGTGTGTGTATGGGTGCATGTTTATGTAATTGCAGTTGCCTATAAAAAAGGTTGAATGCTTTGTGCTTTGCCAGAAAATATGGCATGGCGTGCAAAACAATACCTGCCTGAGGCTATTGCCACATGCTCTAGAGAGACTCAAAATTCCTCACTCCTTTAATTTCTAAAAAATAAAAAAATAATTCTCAACTAACTGCCCAGTAGAGTTATGCACAGACTTGTAATACTGTTTTTAGCAATCTGACAGGTGGACGCACACACCCTTTAACAAACAGGGTTTATGAAATGATCAAATATATCTTGAAATGCAATATAGGTTGCTTTGGGATGAAAGCATCTGTAAATGTAAAAAGGATAATGCCAGTCTTGTATGAATTAGTTTTCACTGAAAACAATAGAATTATTAGTATTTATGGGTATTTTATATATTTACAGGGCTGTCAAGCAGGAGTTTCAGTGGAAAAAAAAAAAAATAAAATAATCTTTTCCCCCACAAAGCGATTTTTAGGGTCACCTTTTTGAAGGTTGACATCCCCAGTCCTTAATGTAAGAGAGTAAAACATCATCTTTTGTGTTTAATGGAATAACGACACGCGGGTGAGTAAATGATGTCAGAATTTTTCATTTTCAGGTGAAATATATCTTAAACGCTTCTGAACTAAACATATATCAACACACCTGTCAAAACAAACTTCTCTCAAACAACTGTCATGCAGGATGGACTAGAGAGCTCAATCCATTTAGTTTGTGTCTTCAAGGAGTTACTGAAGGTTAATTAAGCCCCATTAAATAAAGTGTAACCCTTCCTATTGAGGCTTATCAGGAATGAATTATTCTAAATCAGCCGTAACAATATAATCAAGAGGATTTGGTCATAGAGAGACTGACATAATCCTCATATGAACAATATTAGCAGTATCCAAAAATGATTTGCTGAGAAGAAATGGTTATCAGTTTGTAATTAAAATGAGATGAGAAACAGAATGATTGATTACTCAACTCAATGACAGAAAAGGTTATGGGAACAGGATCTCCAACATAGTCTTTTTATAGCTGGTTAATTTCTAGATGAAACAAGTTAATTCCAGGAATATGTCATCCATCAACTACTACACAGCTCTGTGAAATATTTTGAAGGTTTGTCAGTGACAGTGTTTTTACACCTTCACGTTCATTTGGAAAATCTACAGAGTCCAATCAGCACTCGCAGGACAAAACTGCTGTTCTTTGCTTTGTTGTGCCTTAAGAAGGCACTCTTTACATGTACTATCAGATGTTCTATAAGAAATCAGATAGCAGGCCTACTTAATAATACTGTATTAATAAGACATTATTGTGGTGGATTCTGGGGCTAGCTGTCACACTTTTTACTCAAGTGAATATTTTCCAAGTAGGTTTATTTTTGCAAGTCAATTTATGTATCACTTACCTTTTAGTGTTATCAGAACACAACAGCAGGGCAGGTGGTCACTTCTTATATTTAACTGACATTTAGTCCATCTTACCTTTGATGCTTGTACATTAAAATATATGAATATATATGAAAGTCCTTACAGTAATGTTTTAATTTTTAGCCAGTGCAGTTGAGATTATAGCTACATTTGTTTCCTAATAGGGTAGTAAACATATATTATTCATGTTTTTTCTATCCGCCAGTTATAATGTAGACCAATGTATCGCGTGCGGGTGTGGGGGGGGGGGGGGGGGTCCTTTAGATATATATTAAATGTAGCCCTTCTCCCCTATAATGCTTTAAATGTACATTAGGATATTAATATTAAAGCAAATCCCTGCATTAATGTTCAATGGTTTTTGTCATTATTGGAACTCTTATGTTCTTTTAAGCATTAGCCTACTCTATGTTATGTTTCTACAGAATGTTATTATGGAAGTTTATTATAAAGCATTACATAATCTCTTTAACTTTTAGCCAGCACAGTACTGTAGAGATCATTTATCCAATTAGGTAGTAAAATATATGATTCTGGTTTTTGTGTCCTCTAGTTACACAGCAGTCCACTGTGATATTAAAAAAAAAAACATATAAAGGTAATATTTAATTTCCCTTTCTAATACCAAAGCAATACTGCTGGGGGAAAAAAATGTTACTGTACATGAGCATTGTGACCTAATTAGAAAATCATCCTAATAATAGAAGAATCTGCATTGCCGTGGCTGTCCTTTAGGGGGCAGTATCTCATCAGGGCTTTGTTTCGGATGGTTTGCAGTTCCACCCAGAATTGAAGGTTTCACACATTCTATTTTTACACTGCTGAATAATTCAATACAGAGCCATATATGATCAGTGACATTTCTTCTTTCTTGCAGTCTGACAATGGGGTTGCATCACTTGATCCTCGATGTGGAGTCTAGAAAGTGATATACAGCTGTTAAACTATGAATAGCTTTGTTCTAGGACACAAAATGACATTAATGAATATATACACAATGACCTAAAAACCATCGATTTTCAACTTCTATTGACTCTCCGTTTACGGAGATGATATAATAATGCGAAATGATGCTGTCATAATAGATTTATTTGAGCATATTCCGTAACGGTCCATTGCCATGCTACTGAACCCCCACTAGATCAGTGACACAGTATTTCATCATTAAATTCCAATTTAATATGTGCTTTATGGCAAATAAGGACAGGAATATCAAAGGAGGAAACGAACTCTCCTAGGAAGAAAAAAGAGTGTTTAAATCACATTTTTGACGCTTCCAACGGCCCCGTATTTCTTTCATTTTGATTGCATTTGGTGGGAGCGTTTTATAGGAGTTACTTCAGTAAGTATCTGGGGAGTAATTCTGCGCATGAAATCACGGCTGCTGTTTTGTTCCTGCAAGGGGAAGCCGGGTGATCCTTAAACTTGCCAAGTGTTGTTGCCATGGTAACATCACAGTTCATCAAGGTTCAGTGCAATAAAAGGAGCCAAAGTTTAAATGACAATTATGGACCGTCGCAAACTACCAAGTAATGATAGGCTACAACAACATGCTGGTACTCAACAACTAACTCTGATTAAATGATACTGAAACCAGGGGCGTCGCTAGTGGCCCTATGCCCAGAGTGCATAGGGCCCAGAGGTCTGGGGGGCCCGCGATCGCCTACTGGCCATCGGGAGAACCGGGACATTCCATTCGAGTAGTGGGCTGATCGCCGAAGCGAAGGAGACCTCCCCGATATTAGGTGCTGTTTTTAAATTACAGCTTATGCGAAACCGCATAAAGCACATACTCCGAGTATGTGCTTTATGCGGCGAGACCCGGTGCATCCGCCAGCCGCGCGTCAAAGCAGAGCGGGAGTCACCCGCACACCGCTGACGAACGTGCGCCACGCTTCTGCCACGGTTTATAAATGATAAACAGCGCAAGTCGCTTGATCCATTCAGATGTGAGACAGAATTGTTATACAGTCGTGTGAGATGAGAACATTAAATGTTCTGTAGTGATGTTGGCTGAAAACAGCCACGACAATGAGGTTGGCTATATTGGAAAACGCCAATATTGTCAATTCAGCACCATAGTAATTTAACTTGAAGTTATTAACACTGTACAAATAGCCTATGTGTTGGCAGAAATGTATTTATTATAAATGTTACTGTAATTCGGCTACATATTGGGGAATATTTTAATTTCATGGAAGTTGTTTTGTAGTTTCTTCATGTTTATTTTGTTAACTACAAATTTTATAGTTTATTATTACTTATTCTTTATTTTAAAAACCATCTAACCATGGTAATAAGGACCAGTGTTGGAGAACGTTACTTTTAAAAGTAATGCATTACAATATTGCGTTACTCCATTAAAAAAGTAACTAATTACGGTACTTAGTTACTTTGTATGGAAAGTAATGCGTTACGTTACTTTTGCGTAACTTTTTAAATCTGGACAGGGCTTGCTTGTTTGTTTAAAAAAAAAAAGTTAGATTTTTGGCAAATATAAAAGCCTTTTCACACCAAAAGTGAAATGAATAAGCCTCAGGCTGAAGGGAAAGCACATTTACGTCCGTACAGTAGAAGAAGAAATTTCAACATACTTCAGCAATAAAAAAAGACACAGTGAGTGAGATGAATTAATGCATATTCATATTTATTTTAACATCTTCTGATTTCTCACAACATGGGGACACCAGAGCTGTCAATCAATAAATTGGAAAAAAAAAAGTAACTCAGATATTCTCTTGTAAATTAAAAAGTAATGCGTTACTTTACTAGTTACTTGAAAAAAGTAATCTGATTACGTAACTCGCGTTACTTGTAATGCGTTACCCCCAACACTGATAAGGACCATGGTTTTGTCATCATTTACTCAACATCATGTCATTCCAAACCTGTATGAAATTCTTTCTTCTGTGGAACATAATTTGAGAAATTCAAGACATTTTTGTCCATACAGTAGAAATCAAGGGTAACCAAAATGGTTTGGTAACATTCTACAAAATCTTCTTTTGTGTTCAACAGAAGAAACGACATGAGGGTGAGGAAATGATGAGAGAATTCATTAGCAGTAACTTTCCAGCAGTCTATCTCAAAATCAATGCTTTACTGTCAAGTGCTTTTCTATGTGACAAAAATGCATTACTAAGTTTGTTGCATTTCGTTTCTGTCCGGTTTTATTTATTCATTTATTTACTCCAATTGAAGGCCCTATGACGCATCAAAACATTTAAGGGGGAATTTGTAGGCCAGATGGGCTCGATTTGTCCAGGGCCAAATTTTAACCCCAGTCCAGCCCTGAACACTATTTTACATTTTACGATTGCAACTCATACTGTATATTATGCAACTCACAATTTTTAAACAGTTTTATGGAGTTTTTGTCTGCTGAAAGTTTCATTCCTGTCAAAAATTAAATATGGCGCTACTTAAAGTAAACTTTGTTACTGCTATAAGTAATAGGCTGAAAGTACAAAAAAAAAGAGAAAGAAAGGAAAACAGTAGATGCGCTCACATTTCCTAATTGTGCCTGTTATCATTCTCACTATGTGGACCTCATTTTGGTCAGTGGAATTCAAATGTGTGTTGTTCACAGCAGGTGAGATATGTCTGAGAAAACTAAATATGCGGCCGGCACATCCAAGGAACCCCTCCGGCTCATTTGCCTGGGTGTTTTTTCTGTGACTCACAAAGGAAAAGCCATTACAACTATCTATAACAACTGACAAAGAAGCTTTACCCCATTACATCAATGCAGTCAAGCTCAAAACTCAATGCTTAGGTCAGTCCAGTGTTCAAGGGCCTCCTCCAGAAAAATAACTGCATCTACAGCAGCAATCTTTTGGGAAAAGCCTTTATCTCTTGCCCTGTGGGAAACAATGAAAGCTGAAATGAGACAAAAATCAAAGTAGTCATCTTCCCAGACCTGCTCTTCACTCAAGAGCGGAATGAGTCCTGACAAAAAACGATTGAACTGGGTAAAATGTGTCTTTCTGTATTACTTGTGACTGTCGGATATTCCTGACCTGTAATGAATTCATTTCTAGTACTATTTTATATTAAGAGACTGTGGGCCAACAGTAATTAAACCTGGAGTATGGGAAAGAACCCGAACCAAAATCCCAGTTTAAACCAATTTGATTCCAATTTATGAATCACTCCAGAGTTCCTCAGAGACTAACCCTCAGAATCACTCTATGTCTTTCTGAAGCCATGTTTCACAGTTCATTTTATACTTTGTTTTCAAGAGCTAGAAAGGGGGAGGAAGAGGCAGATATTTTCTGGGAATGGAAATAAGTCACTGTCAGTTACAAGGACTACTTTCAGTTATAGGCATTTGCATATTAATGTTTAGCAGACAGTCTATGTACTTGTTATATATCATTATTAAAATTAATCACTAGCCTATTAATCACTATTGCACAGTGCAAGAAAAAAAATGGCAGTAGGTTGCCAGAGCTTAACAATAGAAAATCTGGTAGTGGCATTTTAAGTTTTAGAAATGGAAATCAAATTTACAGTAAAAACATATAATTAACTGAAATAATGGTAATATACCAAATAGCATTGTAATACCAATAGCACATTGTAGTGCCATCCCAAAGAGGCACAAAATCACATCCACAGACTTTTACCTTAACTGTTCCCTCCTGGTGGAATGCTCTGCCCAACTCAATACGAGCAGCTGAGTCCTTAGCCATCTTCAAGAAACGCCTAAAACACATCTCTTCCATCTTCACTTGACCCTCTAACACTAGCACTTATTCTATTTCTATTTTATCTACTTGTTTTCTTTTTATTTATTTAAAAAAAACTCGACCCTCTAACACTAGCGTTCTCTAATTTTTCTCTATTCTATACTTGTTTTCTTTTTGTTTATTAAAAAACCCTCTAACACTAGCATTCTTTATTCTTTTTCTATTCTACTTGTTTTCTTTTCTTTTTTTATTTTATTTATTATAAAAAAAACCTTGCTACGTGTGCTTTGTTAGATTAACCAAGACTTGTCACAGCACTTACATATTATTGCTCTTTTGTTGGTTTTGATTGTGTCTATTGTCCTCATTTGTAAGTCACTTTGGATAAAAGCGTCTGCTAAATGACTAAACGTAAATGTAAATTACTAAAAACTTTTTAAAATCCTTATACTATACTGAAAACCACCTAAAAAATAAAAAATAAAGCATATGATCAAAGTTCTTCACAAGTAGCTTTTCCTACAAGTGTCAGGGAATGTCAGTTTACTGAATGTCAATTTTTTGTTCCCTTTTTTACTATCAGTGAAGAAACATTTAATAGTATTTTGCTATTAAATTACATCAAATGTCTTTTTAGATCTATAGCAGTTTTT